ATATTAGTTTACGTTAATAATTATGAAACCTATTATGAAGGAATTCTATCTCTTTTATATCTTCGCTTTCTATCTACATACCACTAAATAATGTATACAACCAGAGAAAAGGTACTTGAATACATATGAAAAATGATTGTTTATGATTCCATTAAGAAGATTCTTAATGTGATTACTAATGCATCCGTTCATGTCAAGTATTATTGATTTTGAGTGCCCCCCCCCATTAAAAGTATCAATCATGGTAAGTAATGTATATAATCATATTTACTAGTATTGTATCTCATTCTCACACTTCACTGTAAGCACTCAACGCATAACAAAAAAACTTGTATAAAGTGGGATAGTGTTCGTCATTTTATAACCTGTGTATCACTCTTAAATTACTACTTACTCTTGGTTACTATTATATTTGTTGAATATTTTGTATTCCATTAAGTGTAATATGTATATTCTCTCAGTTTGCTAGGGGTTTTATTTCTAAAGCAAACTAGGCTATGAGATATGAGTATCTCATTACAGTTAACATGTATAAAATCAAATCAATTCTCATTATTTAGTGCTTTGTAATAAATACTAAGGCATTTATACCATAATGAGTGGATTTGATCAAATATAATCATGAATATTGCAACCAAATTATATTTAGATAACAAAGAAACTTTTCTTTTTGATTCATTCATGTGTAAACATAATTCTGTTTATTTATTATTTATTTGAACACATAAATATTGGTACGAAAGGGCACAGAATACATATGAACCACACAAGTCACTTGGTTTGTGTGTGGACTGTGGTACTGCTCGTGTGCCTACACTGAAACAGGTGCTTTTATTAGGGGGCCACTCCCAAAGCCTTCAACCTAAATGTCTGATCCACAAGGCAGTAGGGCAACATAAGGAGATGCAGTCGGATGGTAACTGGTGACCAACGATTGGTTCATATGCCATTTGTCTCTTTGAGATCCTGGAGCCGATGTGCTCCATCGATTTGGAATCAGAATTTTCCAACTCACATAGGTGGACTATCCATGTCCATCAACCCGGTTAAAGCGTTGGACATTCACTTTTGGTCCTCTCAATTTTGTAAACAACGGTAATGCAGTGAGTAGGACTTCCCTGGCAGTAGTTGTATGCAAGTGGCCATGTGAGAGCATTTGAGGAAGTAGAGTTGACTCCCCCCTCTCGGCCGTACCAGGGCATTTGGGGGTTCGTGACTCTGAGAAATAAAGCATTCAAAATCTGTTCCTATTTATTTGAACTCAAAAAAATAATCTATCATTTTGTTTACCGATGATATTATTCCCCAAAAATGTCTATATTCATTCACCATTGAGAAAATAATGAGTAAAGAGTTTGTTATAAGTTGTGGCCTATTGCCCCTAACAATATGTAACGCAATGATACTACCAATTAGAGAACAGTGATTTATCGACCAGACCATATAATAATAGTTGATGGGTCAAGATAAACCTTTTAATAAGAAGAACATGAATATGCATAGTTTAGCTTTTTAATAATAATACAATAAATATATATGTATCGTATTGGTCCATAAATGTCTCTCAAAAGTTACCGTTCATAATTATCGTTGGTATATAACAGAGTTGACAAAGTTAACATCACAGACTTTAAAAAGCACAAACCACTAAATAGTTGTTTCATTCTACTATGAAACTTCTTACTTACTTACTTACTTACTTACTTACTTACGCCTGTTACTCCTCGTGAAGGAACATAGGCCGCTCACCAACATTCTCCATCCAACCCTGTCCTGGGCAATCCTTTCCAGCTCCTTCCAGTCATTATTCATCCTTTTCATATCTGCTTGTATTTCACAACGTAATGTGTTCTTTCGCCTTCCTATTTTCCTCTTCCCTTCAGGATTCCAAGTTAGGGCTTCTCTCGTGATGCAGCTTGACGATTTGCGTAATGAATGTCCTATCCATTTCCATCGTCTTTTCCTAACTTCTTCTTCAGCTGGAATTTGGTTTGTTCTCTCCCACAAAAGGCTGTTGCTGATGGTATCCTGCCAATGGATGTTGAGTATCTTGCGTAGACAAATATTTATAAATGCTTGTACCTTCTTGATGATGGTTGTTGTAGTGAGCAGTGAGCAGTGAACATTCACAACCCAGCCAATGGTACTCAAAACAAGGACCTGTGATATGGCTCGTAAATGTTTAATCTTTAGAAAAATGAGCCAATATTCAATGGTTTAATCATTTAGTTAAAATAAGTTCGTAATGTTACAATGAAATTCAGAAAATTTCCTCGTTAACTAATATAATAATATTAGTAATATGTTCATTCATTACTCCATTATATGATCATCATAACATATTAAAGAATATATGCTCCTTTGTTTATTTGACTGGTGTTTATAACATATAAAACAGTACTAACTAAACATACAATTGATTTGATTGCCTAATAAATATTCATATTTAATCACCTTAATGTCTCCACAATTAAGTTAATTTTGTCCTTAATTATGTTGAATCATTATACAATCGACTGATTTTATTACTCTACCTTTAGTAAATAAAGTATACTAAATGTATTTTTGTAACCGTATTATTAATTGATTTATTTATTTAAACACATAAATATTGGTACGAGGAGGCTCCGAATAGATATGCGCCACACAAGTCACTTAATTTGTGTGTGTGCTGTGATACCGTCCGCGTGCACACAAAGAAACAGGTGGTTTTATTAGGGGGTCACTCCCAAAGCTTTCGACCTAAAGGTTTGATCCACAAGGCAATGAAGTAAAGTCAGGAGATGCAGTCCCATGTTAGCCAGTGACCTGTAATCGATTCAGATGTCGTTTGTTCCTTCAGGATCCTGAAGACGAATTGCACCATTGATTTGGAATCAGGGTTTCTCAACCCATCTAGGTGGACTCTCCATGTCCGCCAATCCTGTTAAAGCGCCGGAAATTCACTTTTCAAAGTCAGAATTTGCAACACTAACTTCAAAATAGTTCCATTGTAAGGTGCTGAAAATTAGACAGATATTACATTCATCAAAATTTACAGGTAGTTATAAACAGCAAGATACTCCAAATCCATCGTCTAGGAAATTTAGTGGCCTCGAAATATATGAATCAAATCTTATCGTTTGATGATTGCTAACAAAACAAACATCCCGACAATATTTGTATATAATCATCCACTTAACTCACAGTAGTGAATAGCAGAATTAAATAATTTAAATACGAGAATGAATTTTTGAATAAGGATTTTTCGTACAGTCGTTGATTGAAAAGAGAAGTGAAACAAATTGACGCCCAATGGAGAAGGCGAGAGAGCCAATTCCAATTAATCAAGAGTTAATCGATATTAACATTCAAATAGAATCGAGGCAAAGAAATGCAAGGCAAAGGCAAAGTGAAGAAAAGCCAAGTAAGGCGAGGTGAAGTGAATAATTAATAAGGTCAAAATGTGGTTTAAGAAGAACGAATAGATTGGTCTATCCAGAAACTAGAAAAACTTATGTGGGCTCGACAGAGGACCAGCCACTACAAGATCATATACAATAACGTACTCAAACAGAGAACAAACCAGCTGGTATTCGAGATAGTAAATAGGAAAGACCCTAGATCTGGATGAAATACACTTTACAAAAATCATCACACAGCGTCACAAGCATGTCCATTCATGAAAAGAAGCACACCAGGGCGTATATGGCACACTGAACTGGTGGGATGCAACAGTACACTAAATATTACCTGGAAGGATCTAGAAAGAGGAGCTCATTACGGAGATGCTCGGAGACCCTATACCTCAAATAGGGTAATGGTAAGCTTGAGTAAGTAGTACATGTCATCTCATAACTACATTATTCTATTGGTTGTCCCAGTATGGTAAGCGTGAGCGAGAATCTTCAATACAAACGTCAAGGTAGTACTACTGTATGGAACTGAAACTTACAGAACTACTACAACCATCATCAAGAAGGTACAAGCATTTATAAATATTTGTCTACGCAAGATACTCAACATCCATTGGCAGGATACCATCAGCAACAGCCTTTTGTGGGAGAGAACAAACCAAATTCCAGCTGAAGATGAAATTAGGAAAAGACGATGGAAATGGATAGGACATACATTACGCAAATCGTCAAGCTGCATCACGAGAGAAGCCCATAACTTGGAATCCTGAAGGGAAGAGGAAAATTGGAAGGCGAAAGAACACATTACGTTGTGAAATACAAGCAGATATGAAAAGGATGAATAATGACTGGAAGGAGCTGGAAAGGATTGGTTGGTACAGGGTTGGATGGCGAATGTTGGTGAGCGGCCTATGTTCCTTCACGAGGAGTAACAGGCGTAAGTAAGTGTTCTAGTATGTGACTTCTCTTAGAATTAATCAATTGTTCATCAGTTTGTTCTTTTCACCGATGCTTTAAATGAGATCGATTTGTAATAAATACTTCTTAACAATATTTATATAGATTTTCTTCGTAAATCAATTATTGATCGTTTATAGTCATAAAGAAAAACAATTAGTTACAATTTCAATGAGAGGAATATAAACATTTCCTGGCAATTGGATTAAAACAATGAAATACAAAGGAATAAAAGAAAATTTCATGACAATATACTGTAATTAATACATTGAAACTCGTTATTATAAAATCAATAAATGACATGTGTTGTTACCTAATCAATAGAATTCCAAATTGTACTTCGTTATTCATTTGATTTCCTGATTTCATTATTGCTTATATGCGAAAATAATGTTAACAATAAGTGATAAGTATTACTACTACTACTACTAATACTACTACTACTGTTACTACTATTAATACTGTGGTGTCTGTTACTTATATTGATATAAGTAGCATACGACACGAGTAAACAATGTAATGTCTGGCAGCGGAAGATGGGGAAGATCAAGAAAGGAAGAGCGGGAAAAGAAAGCAATTAGTATGGAAATGCAAGAACAATGAAGATCGAGACAATTATTGAACAATTTGCAAATTAAGTATTATAGTATGATTTTTATATTTTACCAAGTAACTACTGTTACTATTACTAAAACTCCTACTCCTACTCCTACTCCTACTCCTACTCCTACTCCTACTCCTACTCCTACTCCTACTCCTACTCCTACTCCTACTCCTACTCCTACTCCTACTCCTACTCCTACTCCTACTCCTACTCCTACTCCTACTCCTACTCCTACTCCTACTCCTACTCCTACTCCTACTCCTACTCCTACTCCTACTCCTACTCCTACTCCTACTCCTACTCCTACTCCTACTCCTACTCCTACTCCTACTCCTACTCCTACTCCTACTCCTACTCCTACTCCTACTCCTACTCCTACTCCTACTCCTACTCCTACTCCTACTCCTACTCCTACTCCTACTCCTACTCCTACTCCTACTCCTACTCCTACTCCTACTCCTACTCCTACTCCTACTCCTACTCCTACTCCTACTCCTACTCCTACTCCTACTCCTACTCCTACTCCTACTCCTACTCCTACTCCTACTCCTACTCCTACTCCTACTCCTACTCCTACTCCTACTCCTACTCCTACTCCTACTCCTACTCCTACTCCTACTCCTACTCCTACTCCTACTCCTACTCCTACTCCTACTCCTACTCCTACTCCTACTCCTACTCCTACTCCTACTCCTACTCCTACTCCTACTCCTACTCCTACTCCTACTCCTACTCCTACTCCTACTCCTACTCCTACTCCTACTCCTACTCCTACTCCTACGCCTACTCCTACTCCTACTCCTACTCCTACTCCTACTCCTACTCCTACTCCTACTCCTACTCCTACTCCTACTCCTACTCCTACTCCTACTCCTACTCCTACTCCTACTCCTACTCCTACTCCTACTCCTACTCCTACTCCTACTCCTACTCCTACTCCTACTCCTACTCCTACTCCTACTCCTCCTCCTACTCCTACTCCTACTCCTACTCCTACTCCTACTCCTACTCCTACTCCTACTCCTACTCCTACTCCTACTCCTACTCCTACTCCTACTCCTACTCCTACTCCTACTCCTACTCCTACTCCTACTCCTACTCCTACTCCTACTCCTGCTCCTACTCCTACTCCTACTCCTACTCCTACTCCTACTCCTACTCCTACTCCTACTCCTACTCCTACTCCTACTCCTACTCCTACTCCTACTCCTACTCCTACTCCTACTCCTACTCCTACTCCTACTCCTACTCCTACTCCTACTCCTACTCCTACTCCTACTCCTACTCCTACTCCTACTCCTACTCCTACTCCTACTCCTACTCCTACTCCTACTCCTACTCCTACTCCTACTCCTACTCCTACTCCTACTCCTACTCCTACTCCTACTCCTACTCCTACTCCTACTCCTACTCCTACTCCTACTCCTACTCCTACTCCTACTCCTACTCCTACTCCTACTCCTACTCCTACTCCTACTCCTACTCCTACTCCTACTCCTACTCCTACTCCTACTCCTACTCCTACTCCTACTCCTACTCCTACTCCTACTCCTACTCCTACTCCTACTCCTACTCCTACTCCTACTCCTACTCCTACTCCTACTCCTACTCCTACTCCTACTCCTACTCCTACTCCTACTCCTACTCCTACTCCTACTCCTACTCCTACTCCTACTCCTACTCCTACTCCTACTCCTACTCCTACTCCTACTCCTACTCCTACTCCTACTCCTACTCCTACTCCTACTCCTACTCCTACTCCTACTCCTACTCCTACTCCTACTCCTACTCCTACTCCTACTCCTACTCCTACTCCTACTCCTACTCCTACTCCTACTCCTACTCCTACTCCTACTCCTACTCCTACTCCTACTCCTACTCCTACTCCTACTCCTACTCCTACTCCTACTCCTACTCCTACTCCTACTCCTACTCCTACTCCTACTCCTACTCCTACTCCTACTCCTACTCCTACTCCTACTCCTACTCCTACTCCTACTCCTACTCCTACTCCTACTCCTACTCCTACTCCTACTCCTACTCCTACTCCTACTCCTACTCCTACTCCTACTCCTACTCCTACTCCTACTCCTACTCCTACTCCTACTCCTACTCCTACTCCTACTCCTACTCCTACTCCTACTCCTACTCCTACTCCTACTCCTACTCCTACTCCTACTCCTACTCCTACTCCTACTCCTACTCCTACTCCTACTCCTACTCCTACTCCTACTCCTACTCCTACTCCTACTCCTACTCCTACTCCTACTCCTACTCCTACTCCTACTCCTACTCCTACTCCTACTCCTACTCCTACTCCTACTCCTACTCCTACTCCTACTCCTACTCCTACTCCTACTCCTACTCCTACTCCTACTCCTACTCCTACTCCTACTCCTACTCCTACTCCTACTCCTACTCCTACTCCTACTCCTACTCCTACTCCTACTCCTACTCCTACTCCTACTCCTACTCCTACTCCTACTCCTACTCCTACTCCTACTCCTACTCCTACTCCTACTCCTACTCCTACTCCTACTCCTACTCCTACTCCTACTCCTACTCCTACTCCTACTCCTACTCCTACTCCTACTCCTACTCCTACTCCTACTCCTACTCCTACTCCTACTCCTACTCCTACTCCTACTCCTACTCCTACTCCTACTCCTACTCCTACTCCTACTCCTACTCCTACTCCTACTCCTACTCCTACTCCTACTCCTACTCCTACTCCTACTCCTACTCCTACTCCTACTCCTACTCCCACTCCTACTCCTCCTCCTACTCCTACTCCTACTCCTACTCCTACTCCTACTCCTACTCCTACTCCTACTCCTACTCCTACTCCTACTCCTACTCCTACTCCTACTCCTACTCCTACTCCTACTCCTACTCCTACTCCTACTCCTACTCCTACTCCTACTCCTACTCCTACTCCTACTCCTACTCCTACTCCTACTCCTACTCCTACTCCTACTCCTACTCCTACTCCTACTCCTACTCCTACTCCTACTCCTACTCCTACTCCTACTCCTACTCCTACTCCTACTCCTACTCCTACTCCTACTCCTACTCCTACTCCTACTCCTACTCCTACTCCTACTCCTACTCCTACTCCTACTCCTACTCCTACTCCTACTCCTACTCCTACTCCTACTCCTACTCCTACTCCTACTCCTACTCCTACTCCTACTCCTACTCCTACTCCTACTCCTACTCCTACTCCTACTCCTACTCCTACTCCTACTCCTACTCCTACTCCTACTCCTACTCCTACTCCTACTCCTACTCCTACTCCTACTCCTACTCCTACTCCTACTCCTACTCCTACTCCTACTCCTACTCCTACTCCTACTCCTACTCCTACTCCTACTCCTACTCCTACTCCTACTCCTACTCCTACTCCTACTCCTACTCCTACTCCTACTCCTACTCCTACTCCTACTCCTACTCCTACTCCTACTCCTACTCCTACTCCTACTCCTACTCCTACTCCTACTCCTACTCCTACTCCTACTCCTACTCCTACTCCTACTCCTACTCCTACTCCTACTCCTACTCCTACTCCTACTCCTACTCCTACTCCTACTCCTACTCCTACTCCTACTCCTACTCCTACTCCTACTCCTACTCCTACTCCTACTCCTACTCCTACTCCTACTCCTACTCCTACTCCTACTCCTACTCCTACTCCTACTCCTACTCCTACTCCTACTCCTACTCCTACTCCTACTCCTACTCCTACTCCTACTCCTACTCCTACTCCTACTCCTACTCCTACTCCTACTCCTACTCCTACTCCTACTCCTACTCCTACTCCTACTCCTACTCCTACTTCTACTCCTACTCCTACTCCTACTCCTACTCCTACTCCTACTCCTACTCCTACTCCTACTCCTACTCCTACTCCTACTCCTAATACTACTACTACTACTACTACTAGTAATAATAATAATAATAATAATACTGATGTCAAGGTCATCATATTCAACATTGTTATAGGAAATTAATAGATTCTTTTATTTTCATTAGGATTTCTGACCTCTGAATTATGATAATAATATATACTTTCTAAGAATTTTGAATCAATACTATTGTCTTTATAAAGAGTTATTTGTATTATAATTTTAAGCTGTTAGTGTTTACGTGATCATACAAGAATTGTCTTTAAATTAATACAGAAATAAATAACCTGATCATAACCATCAGAACATGGTGTTTGTTTTAGTGGGATAGGGTCACTAACCCCATGTCTAACCGTCCGCCTTTATCCTGGCTTGGGACTGGCAGTAGCCTCAGAGGAGATCCAGGTGGAGTGGATCATTTGGAAATAAGTTTCTAAGACTTTAAATAAATGTCTGAAATTTTACTTGAATATTAGTAGGCAATATGAGACGTTCATCATGTTCAAACTAAAATATTCAATTCACTAATGATATTAAATGCAAGAAATGATGAACCACTTAATTTTATACATGGTGATTTTTGAATTTTGAATTTATATTTTAATAGTGTTATATAGATATGAGTACATCTATTAGATGAGCTCTGAGTTAGAATAACACAAATATACAGTTGTCATCTGATTGTTACTACGTGATAAAAATCACAAAATTACATTCATATTTTTCTTAGAGGCAGGTGAATAAGTAGGCAAGGACGCCGGGCACACCATTGATATACGAAGACATAAACATGACTATTAGTACCAACGGAATTCTAATTACACTAGCTCTTTACTCAGACATAAGAATCAGCGGATTTGAATAACATCTGTCAACTAGGTTTTATAATTTCCCAGAAATAATCAGCTGATCCTTAAGCTGATTATGGATATTTGGACACAAATTCAAATTATAGGTTTTATGTAATACATTATAGTAGTTGTACTGTCTTCTTTTCACTTGCAGACAAATGTGAGAAACTATGACTTAGGCTTCATTCTCGTTATTGCTAGTTAGCAAGACATCTGAAATTTTGTGGGAATTAATACTACTCATAGAATTTAAGTCTGTAATACAATGGTGGATATTAAATTGAGTTTTTTGGGCTGGGATCGACCTACCATACCACTGAAACATTTACATAATCCACATGATGTCGACATATAGACCATAGGCGACGCTCTAACTAGATCGATAGAACTGAATCAGTACTAAAGGGATGGGCAAAGGTGACATCGGCCACTATCTAGTGATTAATACACTGTGAATACCTCGGTTCTACAAGAGCTCAGTTGGGACCTGAATAGTTCTATGTGAAGTTTTGTTCTCTGAGTTAGATGGTTTGGTTGTGGAGCTTTCACTCTTCTTCTGAACAACATCATCAGTAAAATCGGTAGGTATTTTATTGACTATCCTTTTATAGAAGCTACTTTTGACTGATTAAAAAAAGTAGGAAATTCATTGCGATTGTCTTAAGCTCATCCATATAACACTTTCACTGCCTTTCTTTCTGAACATAACTGATATATTTAAGGACGCTTCTACATATTTACTTCATAGACTGTATTCGATCCTGTTAATCTCAATAAAATCCTTACTACATCATCCTGTCAAGCGTTCATATCAACTCCTAACTAAATTCTCTTCTGTAATTCTTTTCAGCTTCTTTTTACCACATCCATTTTGAAACACTACATCTAAAACGATTGGTAAAAACATAACAAAATGAAGTAGATTCATACTATTTTCCCCAAAACTTTGTTGCTACCGTTTTTTGAGCAAATTTATGTGTAAACGATAGCCACGAAGAATGTGGTTTACATTACGAATAGCACGAAATTCATTTAGATTAGAAACACAAACCATTTTATGGTAACTTGTTAGTCAAAAATCTAAGTGCTTTTCAAGTGACCTCAAAATTTTATGTTCAACTTACGATGAAGTCAAAGATACTTTCAGCTAAGAATTCTCATAGGAAAAACCAGCCTACAGCTTCCTTATTTTCATTACACCGTGAAGTAAACTACAGAAATATATATACGAAAAAGTTGAAACATATTTTCTTCATCGCTTCATTCGGTTTGTCGAATCAAATTACGTGTTCTCAGTAATTTAATCCAAGCTTCTGTTTAAATAGTTATTTTCATTCAATTACATCGATGACTTCATTCTATTATATCATACCTACTACATTTCTATCAACAGTTATCGTTTATTTCGAAAAATTGGGATCATGAGCCAATTGAAAATAGACCATGATGGAAAACGTGGGGGCAATGGACAGCCGTTTCGTCCTATTGTGGGACCCCTCAGCAGTGCACATTCATCATCCCACTTTGCGATAATCGAACCCAGGACCTATCGGTTTCGCGCGTGAATGGTTAACATCTAGACCACTGAACCGACCGGCATCCAACTCTGTTAATGTCTAATTTCAGACAATCCATGAAATTGAGCCACCCATCCACCACTGTCATCAGTGAGTTATTATCTCATAACAGACCTAGTTGAACTCCACTAGTCACTGCTTCTCAAAAGAACTTCAGATAATACATTTTGAATCCAGTATTAGTGAACATATGTTGATTAATATCAAAAATGAGTTTTTTGTGTATATTATAGTAATTTTAATAATTGAGATCATGAGTCAATTGAAGCTAGACCATCATGGTAAACATGAAATCAGTGGACGGCCGTTTCATCCTATTGTGGAAGTTCAAAACAGTGTGCATACACTGGATGGCTATTTTATCCTTATATATCTATATACCTTTATGCTTTAATTACTCTAAAATGTTTACTAAATTTAAGAAAATTATCAAATTTTTGTTTCAATAAACCTTCTTTTTTCTAAATTTTATTCTCTCTAATTTCTTTTTTTTATATTTTTTTTGAAAAATAAAATAAAACGTTTTAACTTTAATTATTAAATGATTAAAAGAGAATTAAAATATTTTTTTTAATTTTGAATTTTATGACCGCTTATTACTTTTTTTTTCTTTTTTTTATCCTGGGAAAAAAAGTGTCTCTATCATGCAAATATGAAATAATTATACTTTTAAAAGAAAAGAAAAGAGAAAAACGTTTTAATGGATAGATAGTTGCTTTGATTAAATTATCCTAATGCCTGTTAAAATGATAAATGTATTTAAATAATTTCATCATTTCAATTGTCATTTTATTGAAGTTTCTTTCTAGCTTCAATCCCCCCTTCCAAAAAAAAGAAAGAAAAATAAGAAAAAAAACGATAAAGCAAAAAAAGGAAAAGAAAAAAAAGAAAAAATATGAGAAACTAAGTACAATTTTCATTTAATTAATGATTACACGAATTAAAAAGTTGGCAATAAAAATTTAAAAATTCATTAATTCATAATTAATTGCAATGAAGTGTAATATCCGGTGGTAGTTTGATTAAAATTATGCTAAAATTATAATTATCTTATTTAATGAAATTGCAAACAAACTCACTTTTCATACAAGTAGAATGATTGATTAGAGACTTAGTAAATATGAGATTATGATATTTTCTCAGAATTCTCACTTACTGTAGTAGTAGTAGTAGTAGTAGTAGTAATAGTAGTGTGATGTGTGCTACTTATATTGACATAAGTAGTATATGATGTATGTTAGTCGTGAACAGAAGGTCTGGCAGCAGAGACGCAAGAGGATCGAACAGTAAAGAATGGAAACAGGATGTAATTTGTATGAATATGCAAGAACAGTGAAGTCTGAGTTATTATGAGACAATTGATGGACATTTTACAAATTAAGCATTTATTATATGATTGTTAGATTTTATTAACAAGTCCTGTAATTTTGAGTCATATATATTCGATCGTCCCCACTCGTGTTCTGTTCACTACAGTAATAGTAGAAGTAGTATTAGCAATAGTTAACCTTCATTTTAAAAAGCTACCACTCTCAATGCTATTTCATATTAGTGTAACTTCTAAGAACGAGCTAAAACTTTTATGGATCGTAGTTTTTTTAATAAATATTGAAGAATCAATTTTCCTTCTAGCGATCACCAGTGCAGACGTCACAAAATGGTCACTGGATTAATATGTATTTCCAGGGCATGGAATCAGTAATTCTTTATATTCGAAGATTATGACACCATATCTATAGTTTGCGAGCAAACATTAATTATTGATTGTGGGTTTTGAATATCATATAATTAAATTCTTCATTTAAAGGCGCGGATCGGTAAAGCAAAAGCAGAATATCTACAATTGAATAACATCTGGAACTCAGAACAACTGTCTGTCAACCAACAACAAAGTCACAATTTTCAATACAAATGCCGAAACTTGGAGAAATACGAAAGCCATCATCCAGAAGATACAAGTGTTCAATAACAGTTATCCATGCAAAATAATTCAAATCGGTTGGCTAGATACTATCAGTAACAACCTACTATGGTAGAGAACAAAACAGCGGAGAAAGAAATGAAAAAGAAGCGCTGGAAGTGGATAGGGCACACATTGAGGAAGTCATCTATCGACGTCACAAAGCACGTTCTCACTTGGAACCCTCAAGTTCTAAGGAGAAGTGAAAGAACAAAGAACACATAACACGGAGAAATGAAGACATATATAGGAAGAATAAACAACAATTGAATAGAACTGGAAAGGAAGGCCCAGTAGAGAGTGTGTTGGAGAATGCTTGTCGACGGCCTGGGTTCGATTGTGAGTAACAGGCGTAAGTAAGTAAGTACATTGTTCATTGTCTTCAAACGTTATTCCATCATACTGATCTATATTCATTATGTTTCATGCCACATTACCATTAATAATATTATCAAATATTTCTTTCACCCATTCATTAATCCCCTCTCACTATTTTACTATCCAGTAAATACTAATTTGATCTGATACACTTTTTTGTGTGGCTCTAAACAATTTTTATTTGTCTATCTATCTATCTATCCACACCTCTATCTATCAACCTATCGGTGTCTACATTTATATCACAAATCTAAGAAATGATAATATGCACTACATTATACTACTTATTACTACTAGTACTACTATTATTATTATTATTATTCAACACCAAAAAAATAT